AGACATAACAACTAATTATTACAACATCAACTCATGGGTAGTTAGGTACACTAGAAGAACACCCACCACGAGCTTGATTAGTTTTGCCACCCAAACCAGTTGAAGGACATTTACGACGGTCGTGTCCTGTTTGCGAGCATATACCACATTTGCGCGCATAAACGGTGTCACTAACATCCATTTGGTTTCATATACGTGTTCTCTTCTGCACCTGTCTTTTACGCAAATAGGACTTGTTACACACCATTTTAAATGGTTCCGGAGGCCAATAATGCTCAGCACCCACTGGCTGCAACTGACCACTATATGTGTTTTGGTACTTGGAAACACTATATTGTTGATCAACATAGTTGGTCTCCGCATAACCAACACGTTGAAAACACTTGATGGCATGTGAGCAAGACATGTGGTAGATGGACCATTTCCCACAGGAGCATAACCTTACAAATTCATTTATAGTATGAACATTATTACCCCGATTATTATGGATAGCGGTGCGAACTTCAAAAACACCTCTTTTGTTATCATACTGCAAAAATGAATGACAATGTGCTTGCCGTCTGTATTTCTCAAATCTCTTCATAGGCACTGGCATAAATTCAACACCTCTCTCCATCAATTCTGTTGCAGCTGCAGACCATTCAACAAACCTCTCTGCCATCTGCTTGAACGACATTCGCACCATGGCTGTGAGGGCAATCCTCTTACCGACTTCAATAACCCATTGAAGGACTCTGACACGTTTGTAGTAAGAATTCCCCATCGTCTGCCACCATCCGCATGCAACGTCCATTTTTCAGGGTCATGTCGCATTAACCAACGATAGGCTGCCTCGTCTTCTTGCCTGATAGAATCCATATGGCTCCGAAATTTATGTTGTTGGTGGTCTGTTACTGCCACCCATATCAAATCATGTAGATCCTTGTTGGGATGTGCCTTCTGGAAATTGGCCTTAAAGTGCCTCACACAGTAATGGTGGTATGCATAAGGTTCTTGCCATGCAGACAAGTTCTCCACAGAACTTAATATACCACCATACCGATCAGATATTAGATAAATACCTAAACGCTATTTGACAACGTGCTCTTTCAGGTGGTTCAAAAATAATGTCCACGTCTCTGTGCTTTCATTGACACAAATAGCAAAAGCTAGAGGAAATATCTGTCCATTAGCATCCACTGCCACAGCTATCAATAGCTTGATATCGTACTTTCCATAGACATGAGTTCCGTCTATGGATATTACTGACTGGCAATGCGAAAAACCATCAATTACTGGCTTAAATGCCCAGAACACGTAATTGAATATGTATTCTGGTGTTCCCGGACTCTACTCAAGCTTCCATTCAACAACTGTCCCGGGGTTAAAGTGCTGCAGTGCGGCCATGTACTTTGGCAGAGATGCAAATGACTTATCCCAATTACCGTAGACAATTTCAAACGCTCGTTTGCGCCCGAGAAATGCCTTTCTTTTCGTAATGGTATGGCCATATTCCTGGTGGACTGATGTAATGCACTCTTTGATTGTATACCTTATGGACGCTTCGATGTGCGGAATAAGTACAAGAGATATCAAGTCAATATCCAAGTTGAAGTGATTCCCGTTGAATGTGTCCATTTCGCATGTGTGGGTGGGAATGTATTTACCCACTTTTCACATACCTGTCTTCTTCTTGGTCGCACGCAACATCCAATTACATGGCCAAAACCACCTGCGGCAAATAACCTTGTATACCATCGGACTTGACTCCCATACTTGCATCTCACGACACTCTTTTACGTTGTGCATTTTACAAGTCCTGCTTAAGCGCGTTTTATCAGGAAAAAGCATCCCCTTTGCAAGCACCGTTAGACTCATCCCACATTGCTGTCCGGATTTCATCAAAATCCTTTGTTAGAGCTTCCACATCCGGCACAGTTGGCAAGTTATCAATGTAAGGAATCTCCCTTGAATGAAACAACACTTCGGACTCATACACTCTTCGTCTAGGGGAGTCTCTCTTCAAATCAGGTCCTTCCTCCTCATCCTGCTCATCACCATCCTCACGAAAAAAGGGTATCTCATCTCTGGATTCATCGGCATTGTTATCGTAATCACTGTTCTGTTCCTCACTCTGTGCATCTACCAGATCCCGATGTAATACGTCGTTTTCGGTCAATTGAGTGAGTACGGGTGGTTCAACTTGCTCGTTTTCACTGCACAACCAACAAAAATATAAGCTACTGAATTAATAAATGATTTCCATATGGCTATATCACTTCACTTACAAGTCGTAATGTGATGAAATTTCATGATGGACGTTTTCAATTAAGTGATGACTACCGGATGGGCCACTTGTAAAATTCATATCCGGCCGGTACCCCCTATTAAATATATGAGCGTTAATACAAATTCAATACGCCAAAAATATACATAATTAACACAAATGAAAATTGAAGTTTACCACTCGTCTTGTGAATTATGGAAAGCAGGGTATAAATTATTTTCTCGCTGCTCATTCGCCGGCGGTGATAAGTTTAAATCAAGGAAAACTCTTTCATCCGAAACCTGTCCGGCAAAAACTGCTCCATAATAACCACCCGATGACTGGGGGTTATCTCTGCTACGCACAACCTCGTTTTTTGGAACGTCTTCGACCTTCACGTACATCTCCAACATTGTGATTACAAGAAATTCCCGGCATTCGTCCGGAGTCCTCAGAAAATCACTCAAAGTTTCATCATCGTCGATGTTAAACTCCGAGTAAAAAGCAACCCCTTGCGGAGTGACGGAATACGGATATCTTCCGGTTACTTTAAGTATCACTGAACGTTTCCTCACACTCAGTTTTTTGCATAACAACGATATCAATTTATCGTACTCTATTGTAAGTGGCAATTTAACATGACACTAAGCAGGTAAACAGTAGCCCACAGAGTTATTCTCCATCACAACCTCACCCCCCAATATAATGAAACTCTTATTCTACGCTCTTCAGACATAATGAAAAAATGCTGGAGAATTTAAGAACAATAAACGTTTCAACAAGAGTTAAAATTTTTTTTTGAATGAATTTCTATACAATCCTAACCTCTTTATATAGGAAATGGCTAGCCGGGATTTTTTTTATACAGGTATAGCGCCCAAAAAGTTGGCACTATGCGCTTTTGAATTATTGAAGTCAGGAATTATTGGCGGGGCCAGAAAAAGAAGTATAGCGCCACTATACCTGGCGCTATACATTAATGATGTATGTATAGCGCCAGGTATTGTGACGCTATACCTGGGCGTGTCAGATTTTACAGTATAGCGCTACAATACCTGGCGCTATACATTAATGATGTATGTATAGCGCCAGGTATTGTGACGCTATACCTGGGCGTGTCAGATTTTACAGTATAGCGCTACAATACCTGGCGCTATACATTAATGGTGTCGTTACTGTAAGTGTAATAGCGCCAAGTATTATGGCGCTATATATAAAATATAATTTTTTTTACCACATATTTGTGTAGTTTGAGTTCAAAAGAACCACATTTTGGTTCCGGACTCCCCAAAAATCCAGGACCCAATTAGACTTTTTAAAACTTTAGCAAAATCTCAAATCTCCTTTCTCTTTCTCAATACCAATGGCATCTCATAACTTTCATAGATCAGACAGTCTCGTGAAATTAGCTGAAAGGCTTCGTATTTATAATCATCCTTTGAATAACTCTTCCAACAGCACCAATGCCCGCGTTCAAAATCAAAGTCCAAGATTTCAAGAATGTACAGTAAATGAGGTTGTTTCCAAAGAACAAGAATTGAAATCAGAATTTGGGACAGACCCAATAGCTAATAATTCAAGAAGAGTCAAATCCGATAGGGCTTCCGTTTTAGTATGTTTATTTGAAGACCAAAAAGGCCATCTTCGTGTAATTCTCACTAAAAGAGCTTCCACTCTGTCTACACATTCTGGTAACTATTTGATTGCCCAATTTTTATTTTTATTTTGGTTATTAAACTCTGTTTCCCCTTTTTATGACACTCTTTCCTTCTTAATTTGTTAAAAAATATTAGTCTTCAAATTTAAACTTTACATTTTACCTTAATGTTATGCTCTTATAGCCATGAAACCACAAGTTCTTAGAGTGTTTTAGGCTATGTTAAGTGTGTATTTTTTTTTCTTCTTAAAACTATAGCTGTAAGGGTGGATTAGTTTTTGTGTTTTTTTTAAGTAAATTATATCCCTAGTCAAACAACCGTCAGCTGTAAGGGTGTTTTAGTTTTTGTGTGATAATAAATTATATGCCTAGTCTTTGTGGAACGGGAACCTTGCAGCAACGGTAAAATCGTCTCCGTGTATCTATAGGTTATTGGTTCGAGCTGTGGAAGCATCCACACCCCCGGAGGTGCAGCCCTTTCCTGGACCCCGGGTGAATGCGGGATGCTTTGTATACCAGGTTGCGTTTTTGTATGTCTAGTCAAACACCGTTATATAAAATGATACAAATGAAGTATCATTTATAAAGTTTTAATAGTGGTGTCTGGCCAACTTGTGCGCACCTGAATTTTTTACCTGGTAGCCTACTACTACATCACACAAACATAGATGTCGGATAAATCTGTTCACCAAAGCTAGAGTATTGATTCTAAGTTTTGGATCAAATGTATTCTAAAAGCCATTAATTATCTCAATATGTTGTTTTTAGGTGAAGTTGCTTTGCCGGGTGGGAAAGTTGAAGAAGGTGATGCCAATGACATTGAGACAGCATTGAGGGAGGCCGAGGAGGAGATTGGATTAGACCGTTCACTTGTAGATGTCGTCGCTGTTCTTGAATCCTTTACCAACAAGGTACTGCATCTGTCTTCATTGAGGCTATTCTTTTATGCTCATGCCGCTGACCATTAGAAACAGGTTTGGAGTCCAATGGCATCTTCATCTTCTTGTATAGAAGGTGAAGAAATCAATTCGTTTCACAGATCATATGTATTACCAAGACCAGTAACAAGAAGAAAAGAATAGTCGTAAAATGGTACTAACTCATCAGTTCTTGAGAGCAACAACAACAATAATATATCCAGTATAATCTCACAAGTATGTCTGTGGAGGGTAGTGTGTGCGCAAATTTTACCCCTGTATTGTGATGGTAGAGAGGTTTTCGATAGACCCTCGGCTCTCCCAGTTCTTGAGAGCATTGTGCAATATCAGATATGACATGCACATTATTTTTATAACAGTGGTGTCTGGATCAGCTTGCACGCATCTTGACTATTATATTAGTTATTTGCTACCCTTCACCAGCACAGTTGTTGGGTGACTATGCCCACCAAGGCTTAGGCAGATAGAATAAAATCATCTACTCTCTCCGTTCCAATTTATGTGAACCTATTTCTTTTTTGATCTGTTCCAAAAAAAATGATTCCTTTCTAAATTAGGAAACAATTTAGCTTAAACATCCAATTCTACCCTTAATGTGAAGATTTTTTAACCACACAAATACTCTGGATCCCTTTTTGACTTGTTTAGAATCACAATTTCCAAAAATCTTCATTTTTTCTTAAACTCTGAGCACAGTCAAACATGTTCACATAAGTTGGAACGGAGGGAGTAGTATTTGAGTCTGAGAGCTCATGGTTCTCATCCAACTTCATTTGATCGCTAGGCTTGGGTGCCATCCAAAAACCGAAAAGGATTATTGAAACTCCATACTACAGAAACTTGAAGATGTATTTTGTATAAAGTCTTCGAGTATTAACTGATAAGGCCTGAATTTCATACTCACTTCAACATCACACAGCAGCCATTACATTGTAAATTGGTCAAAACAATGTCTTGTTTACTTTGATAGAAGAAAATAGTTCTTAATTGAAGGGTGGTTTGTGAGCACTCACATTAAACACGAGGAGCGACGGTTGTATAAGAAAAGTTATTTTAGCTGAATGTTTCTGCTCAATTTTATTGAGTTCTATTTGGAGTAGTTTTCTTGATATGGTATTGTTGGCGCTTAAGATCAATGCTTGCTGGTATCGAAGAATAATTGTAGGTAGAAAATTTCGAAGCAAGCTATTTAGTCTTCTTCATTTCTGGGGACACAGATACTCTACGAAATCTGTTACGTTATATCACAGTTATATTCTTCTATAGTGGTGATGTAACAAAATTACTATGATTTTGCCATCTCAAATTGGCATTTCTTTTCTTCTTCAGAAAGGAATTACAGTGGTTCCTGTTGTGGGCATACTTTGGGACCGGAACGCATTCAAGCCAGTTATAAATACTGCAGAAGTGGCAGCAATATTTGATGCACCTTTAGAAATGTTTCTTAAGGTAAGTAAGTCTAAAAACTCCCTTTTACTTTACAGGTTTCGTCTTCAGTTGTTCTTACCAGTATATTGGTTGATATTAGGATGAAAATCGAAGAGAACAAGAGCGTGAATACATGGGAGATGAATATGTACTTCATTTCTTTGATCATGAAACAGAGAATGAGAAGTATATAATATGGGCTTTAACTGCTGGAATTTTGATTAAAGCTGCATCAATTGTGTACCAGCGCCCCCCTGATTTTCAAGAACGAAGGCCTAAATTTTGGAATAGGAGTCGCCGATAAACAACCTCTCTACCTTCAAGATAGGGGTAAGGTCTGTGTATACACTACGCTTCCCAGACCCCACTTGGGACTATACTGGGTTTGTTGTTATTGTTGAGTCGCCAATAAACATGCTATTGCCAAATCTCTCCCAAAAACTGTCCTTTCAATCTTGAACACACAGAATGGTTCCTTCAAAATGAAGTGAAGCAAATTAAAAATACATGTATCCTATTATAGTCGAAGGGAAGCCTTGCCGTAACTGGCAAAGTTGTTGTCATGTGACCATGAGGTCACGGGTTCGAGCCGTGGAAACAGCCTCTTGCAGAAATGCAGGGTAAGACTACGTACAATAGGCCTTTATGATCCGGCCCTTCCCCAGACCCCGCCCATAGCGGAAGCTTAGTGCACTGGGTTGCCCTTTTCTACTATAGCCATTGCTCTCAGTGTAGCAGCTCTTAGCATAGTAGCAAGATTGATAGTGGAAAGTATTATATGTTGTACAATGGTTCCACATTTCCATCGAAATACAGTTGTATAACTATTCAGTGTTACTAATCATAGCCTTATTCATCAAAAGAAAACACTTTCCTTTTGATGCTATGTATCATTAACTATTACATATTGTTCCTTTCGCTTTATTTTCTTATTAGTTTGTTGTTACTGCTTTCTTTTCATCTTTCCTTGAGCCGGAAGTCTATCCGAAACAGCCTCTCTACCCTCAAGATAGGGGTAAGGTCTGCGTACAAACTACCCTTCCCAGACCCCGCTTGTGGTTTGTTGATGTTGCTATGTATCATTAACTTTACCGGGCTAGTTATTGGCCAGGCTGAAGTTTGATTTCTTGAAGAAACCATATACGATGTAGTCTTTTGTTTTCATGACGTTGATATCTAGGACAACTTGCAAGCACCTCGACTTTTCCACTGATTGTGCTCCGAATTTGAGTCAATAATGTGGATATTGTTGAAGAAGGGTCTTTTTGTTTATGCCATTTTTGTATATCCAGAATAGGTTGAAACATATAAAAGATCATTAATAAGTGGACAAAATTCAATGGCAAATGTACAAAAATATCTCATCTGACATCTCAATATAGACTTCTTTCTGTTGTTACTGTTTGTCGCCGTTACTCTTCTCATCTTTTCCTCGATCGATGGTCTATCAAAGAGAGGTTTTCTGCCTTTTTAGGATAGGAGTAAGGCTACATACATCCCATCCTTTCCAAACCCACTCGTGTGATTACACTGAGTTTGTTATTGTTGTTGTTGTTGTACTATAGATAATAACATTCTCGGTATAAGAATTAGTTGTACATTACAGATATAAACTAACAACTAAGTAATACATGGGATTGAGCCTTCTGGGATTGAGCCCGTCGCACAGTTTTTGCCTAGTTCGGTTTACATCCTCTGTGTGGTTTGCAGGCTATTACACAGGGGGAGGTTTACCCAAAGTAATACCGAGTGCTCACCCAAAGGGTAGAGGCTGTGGCAGAGGTTGTAGCGGCTGCGGATTTCCCCTCTTTAAAAAAAAAAAGTAATACATAATGAACCTATTAAAGGTGACGTAATACATTACAAAGGGAAATTTGTATTTAGAAGTTGTAGACTTAGGGGTCGTTTGGTATGAGGTATAAGAATGTATAAGGATGATATAAAAATTTAATACCACCTTAATACTCTGTTTGGTTAGCAAACCAGCTATAAGTTATTCCGGTGTTAATTTTAATACTGGGATAACTTATACCTTATAGAAGGTGGGGTAATTAGCACCGGTATAACTTATACCTTCTTAGAAATTATGCAATTGTCATTCTTAATACAACATACCAAACAATGAATAAACAACAATCCCAACATAACTAATCCCAGCATAACTTATCCCAATATAACTTATACCGACATAACTTATCCCGGTATAAATCGTATTCCAACCAAACGACCCCTTAAATGTTTAGCATGTCAATGTAAGTACAGTAATTTTATACAATATGCCATATTTATTATCGCTATACAATTCTTCTTTAAAAATAATCATTTAACCAAGTATTGAGTAAAATTATGACAAACATCTTTGTTGTTTTTAGGCATGTCAACGTTTAATTTTAACAATTAAATGTTTAATATACTTTCGGCTAAATTAGATTTGGATCAATTTCAAAATAGATTATGAATTTATTATTAGACCTGGTCCAAGTCCTAAAATCTGCAAACAAGTAAACTATTGACTTGCAATTGGTAAAATGAACAATTAGATGAATCAGACATTCAAGTTCAACCTTAAGAGAAAAATCTGTAGAGATTTATTTTTGGGCAAAGATCAAACTATTTACATCTGGTAGCCGCAAAAGTGTGTAAAATTTGTATATCTTTTTGTATATAACACACAATTATTTTTTTTGGATAACCAAGAATCTCCGATGGTCTACTAGGGCACAATTCAAAACACGATGGATAATGATCCCCTCCTATACTATTCTCCACCTAAATAAAAGTGTTTTGTTAGCGGAAGAATTCAAAATCGAATCATTGGCCTAACCTACATATCACGCGCTGAATTCTTACCGCTGAACCCCGGGGCATCTCTTTGAATTTGTTTTGCTTGGGAAAGAATACATTGCCTTCTTCCTTTTCTGGTGCATAATATAAGTTCGCTTCAACTTAAATCTAAAAGCAATCTGAAACAAGTGCAATATATCTGGGTTTTTTTTTTTTTTTTAAAACTCCTCCCAAATTAGAAGGATCTATAGTGTTTCCACACTTCCCCTCCAGCGTGACTCGAACCCAGAGCCTAACGGTCGTGGGTGGAGGTGCTTTTTACCAACTGAGCAAACCTCAGTTACCAAATATATCTGGTATTTATATCATTCTCCCTTTCCTTCCCTTTCTTCTTTTTTGGATGTCTAATAATGACTGAACTAATGGAATTATAGTAGCTGCTATAGAACAAAAATGAAGCATTTCAGAAATAAAGCAGTCATAACCAAATACAACTGGCTACAGGTAATTCTGAACCCATTTCTTAAGCACAGTACAAAGCCAAAATTAAGCAAAAGTCTAGTGTTACAATTGTCAAATCTTTAGATGATTTATGAATGGAAAATAAAGCCAAAAATAAGTATCTCACTCTATAAAACAGCTTAGGCGAAAACCTCATAAAATTTCTCAACAACAAGTACACCCGAGTCAATAGATTCCAACGGATCCTTCCTCAGCCTGTGTCTTAAGCAGTTGGGAATGACAGTGGCGATATCTTCCGGAGTTACCTTATCTCTTCCTTTTAGTGCAGCCAACGCTCGTGCTGCCCTGTTAGTGACTATATCACCTCTCAATCCATCGACATTTAGTTCTGCACAGACCTTAGAGATTTTAACTCGAAGATCATGATCGATTGTAACAGCAGAAAGAGCGTTCCTAGCTGAGTCGATTTGATTCTGGAGCTTTTCTTGCTCTGCCTTGTATGACTCACGGAATTCCTTGGGGTTCTTATCAAAACGAGCTCTTTCCTCAACGATCTTCACTCTCAGCTCTGCATCTCTCACGGTCCCCACTTGGGCATGCATTCCAAATCGATCAAGAAGTTGTGGCCTAAGTTCTCCTTCTTCAGGATTACCTGAACCAATAAGGATAAATCGGGCCGGATGTGAGATTGATATCCCCTCTCTTTCAACAGTGTTCCATCCCGATGCTGCAGAATCCAAAAGAACATCTACTAAATGGTCATCCAAAAGATTAACCTCATCGACATAAAGTATTCCTCTGTTAGCTTTAGCAAGAAGACCAGGCTCGAAAGCCTTCACACCCTCAGTAAGAGCTTTCTCAATGTCGATTGTGCCACACACCCTGTCCTCAGTAGCACCTAGCGGTAAATCAACCATGTTGATTTTGGTACGAGATATAGGAAGCTGCTGTCCGCTCCTCAATTTGTCACGGACTTCTGCACTCATTACTTCTTGGTCATCTGGATCTGAATTGAACGGATCACCAGAAATAACTTTGATTTCAGGAAGTAAATCTACCAAAGATCTAACCGTGGTGGACTTCCCGGTTCCTCTATCACCCATTATCATCACACCTCCAATCTTTGGATCAATTACATTCAGCAAAAGACATAACTTCATTTCATCTTGTCCCACTATAGCTGCAAATGGATACACCGGTCTCTGGCTCTCCTCAGCAAGTTTCTGACCCTTAAAATCGCAAAGTAGGTGAGTTTATAAATATACTTCGTGTCGTAACCCAATAAATAAAAACGGGTTGAGAATACATTGCCTTGCAAATAAATCAGTTTCCCCAAATGTTAGAACTTTCTAATCTGAACCTAATAAACTATTTTGAACTTTATATATTCATCCTTGTCCTCAAATTTAATACTCCCTCCATTTCAATATATGTTTTTAATTTTCCTTTTTAGTTTGTTTAAAAAAATACTACCATCTTTCTATATTCAGTACTGTAAATCTTTAGTTCCACTATTCCTATTTTTTTCTTAATGACACTCATTATAGGAATGACATGCCAAGTTCAGACCACAAGATTTAAATGTTATCTTTGTTACATTATACAAACATTTAGATTAAGACTGCGAGATTCAAAAGTCTTCTTTACATTTTTAAACTTCGTGCTCAATCCAACTAAAACACATAAAATGAAACGGAGAGTCTATTCTAAAACACATAAAATGAACGTCCAAACATGTTTTTGAGATCACTCCATTTCAATAGAAATTTTACAACTTTCAAGAATTCAAATTCATTAAAATATCCGAACTTCTAACCTTCAATGCCATGTTTTTTCCATCAAACTTATTTTCAACCATTAGTATAATATTCATTTCCACCATCGCTAATATACTGTACAAGTCAAATAAACATCTCATATAATATGAGACATAGGAAATATACTCACATCCAAGAAGCATCACAATTGGGTCCAAGAACATTTCAACAAACAACTTATATGCATTTTAATAATCTTTCTAGCTACTCGAGAAAACAAATTAACTAGCTCTCTCGCAATGTTGCAGCCATTTCATTTCATATCCTCAACTTAGATTGCCATTTCATTTCATACCCTCAACTTAGATTTCGGACTCTCGTATTCACACACGGTCCGGAGAAGACTGCACCCAAAGGGTATGATGCAGGCAGCCCACCCTAATGCAAGGATCAATGGTTGATTTCACGGGTTCCATTTCACGGCTGGAACCCGTGACCTAGGTTAGACAGAGACAACTTTACCGTTGCTCCACAACCAAAAACCCAACATCTCACACTATTTATTATATACAAATCTTCCCCAATGAAATTACCATATCCCAAAATACCGAAATGTAGAAAAACAGTACCTGTTCTTGAGCAGGGTTGATTTCCGTCGCAACATTTGAAATTGCCACATGGAATTGGGACCTCCCTTTCTTAACTGGGACTCTAATCCCTCCATAAAACTTCCTCCCTTGACTCTGCCCTGCAATAACAAAGTACCCATCAAATTCCAAGAACCCAGATTCATAGTACAAGAAAACTTAGCTTTAAAATTATTGAACTGTACGTATAGAATTTGTGCAAACTACATTGTGATTGGTTATACCTGAAGAAGGGAAGAGGGAGAAAACGGCA